CAGGAGGGGAGAATAAACCTGATAACAGTGTATGTCTACAGATCCTTGAAGTTTTGTTTTTAATTCTCTATAAAAAAGTAATCATTTGACCTAATTTTTAAGTAGTGTTGAAAAAGTCAACTAAGGGTCAAAGATTCTTGCTTTGTGCACACTGTGTCAAAATGTTGTGATGATTATGTGTGCTGGTTTAAATGGTTGGGTCTTTTTTGTGCTTGCCTATGTTTGCTCTTATATGTGTGTCTTAGTACTGCAGAAGCAGTCTTGCAAAAAATGGATGACATGGAGATGTGTAGACGGCGAAGGATGGAGGACCTGGAGGTGTTCCCCGACACAGAAGAAGTAAATACCAATTTAGTTTACAGTTCTTGTATAAGTAGGGTATTTCACACAGGGCAGTTATTTAGCTGTAGTTTTAGTTTGGCAGAAAAAATCTCTATTCAAAGCATAGTGTAGTCTAAAATAATGCTTGGTTTTGCTCTCTAATGTAATTTAATATCTGACTGTTGCAGTCATACCACAGCTGCACTCCAAGGGTGGGGGAAATGTCTTCTTCAGAAGACACAAAATAGCAGTGATATGCTGCAGTGCATGTCCTGTGTCTCACTTTTCGAACTGCCTTATGATGTGCGAATGGACAGTGTTTACAAAGAGCTGTTTCAGGGCTTGGTTTTCACTTCAAATCTTACTAAAGACTGAATTCACTGGTAGCTGTTGTATCTGTGTGTGTTTGTGTGCCAGCCTTGCCTGGCAGCTCAAGTCAGAGGAACTCATGTTAACATGATGTACAGCAATCACATTTCCTCTGCCTTAGTTTTGCCCAATTAAATTAAGTTAGTCCACTGTCCTTTTGAATGGAAGTTGCTTCATAGTCTGCTTTCATGGGCTTTCTTGTTTGGATCTGAATTCCTATTTTAGAGCAGAAATCCTTGTTATTAATGCTGAGTGCCACAATGATGTTCCTTTTCTCTCCTGCTGTACATTAATTAAAACTTGTGTATGTGGAGTGCCTTGATAATGATACTGTATAGGCACCAAATATACCCACAGGTTTTATGCCTATTTGTGACTGATCTTTCTTGTTCCTTTTAATTAGGAAAGCCTCGATACGGAAAGGACTGATGAAGAAATAGCTGATAATCAAGGTAGCATTGCAGGCTGGTTCTGTTTTAAATTTCTTTGACTGTGCTCTAGCCAAAAGCCTTGTCTTAAACAGTTGAGGTGGGATGAACTACTGGGTATTTTTCATCTATTAAAAAAGTCTGTGTTGCTGTTGGCATTGCAAGCCGTAGTCACAGACTCTGGGGCTGTACTGCAGTGAGCGCAGAACAGGTATTTGGAGCAAAAAAACCCCAACTGGTGTTTCTCCAAAACACAAGATAAAAGGCTATGGTGGGAATACATGTTGCATAGTGCATTTTGAATTTAATATCGTTTGCAGCAGTACTTAAATAGTTGAATGTTATGTTGATGTACAGTTGATTCGTCAGAAGAAAGTGAAGAAAAAGAAGATGATGTTGAAGGCACTCGGAAGCGTTACTTCTTTCGGCAGAGGAAAACTGTGGAGCGCTATCAAGCTCCATTGCAAAGTAGGTTACAGGCACAGTTTCTCTGAAGAGCTAATTTCTTGCATGGAAGTGAGTGTTGTAATACACGCTCTCACCTTCTCTTTAAATGTCTTGCCTTACGTGCAAGTGAATTTTATTTAGGGTATGTATCCTCTGTACGTTCTAGTTCTTTGCCACATGGCACTCTTATTTGATGTTTTTCAGTAAAAATATTACCTATGTATCCTTGAAAGAACAGTTGTTAAACAGACTTGGATCTTACTCTTGTGGTTTTCAGTTCTCCTTAAAAATCAGGTGTCTGGTTTTTTTACTTCTATTGTGCGCTGACTGAAAAGTAAAATCCCTGTTCCCCCCTTGAGACGTCCTCTGAACTTAGAGAACTTAAACTCTCTTGTAACATTATTCTCAATTCTTTGCTTTCCACAGAACCAAAGCAACGTAAGATATATTTTTCTTATCGATCTTCACCTGTCAGAGAGAGCGATTCATGCAAACGAACTACCAGGTGTGTGTAATGTATATGACTGAACAATGCTTTCAAGGGGTTTGGGACTGGTGCTGGTGAGGGATTAGTAGTATGATTATTGCTGTGGTAGCCTGGAGGCATAAAGATAACAAATATTGGGGGGAGCTTATCCTTTATACTAGCCACAGATTTTATTTGAAAATGCAGTTTTTGTGGTCACTGATAAGGTGATGATGAGGGCTGTGGCTGAGATTGTGTAACTGAAATTCTGGACTTAAGCCAGAATCTCCCTTGGAAAATCTTAGACTGTTTAATCTTGAAGGAAACAAATTATTATCTGAAAACCAAAGGCAATTTAGTTAGAGAGAGAGCCTGCATGGAAGTTTTAATGGAATTTTATTATTTTTTTATCACTTAAATGCAGATTCTGATTTCTCTTTGGAATCAGTTCGTGTTTGTGTGAAACTATCCTTAAACAAGAAAAATGCTAAATGAAATAATAAATTGCAATAGTAATGACAAATGGGTTTTGGATCCTCTAATAGGTTAGTGTTGAGAGTGCCAGCCCTTGCTAGACAGGACAATTTGTTGAAAAGCTTTGTTGAAAGCAAACAGTTATGGAAGGAAGGGGTGTCAAAGCCAAATTTCTATAAGTAAGTTAAAAAAGTTAATGTTTCACCAAGCAGATGCATAATGCTAAGTGAGACTCAATTTGTGTGTGTGAGAGAGGGAGTGGACAGAAGGAGTAACTTGGTTAAAAAATTTATTTGCACACTAGTTAAACATTTTACCTTCTTAAGAAAAATCTAATTTTGCTGTTATGATGAAAATTGCATCATGTACGTTGAAAGCAGATTCATAAGTAGTACACTCATCTGTAAATTTACAAGATTTCAGAGCAGGCTGTGAGATAGTGTTCACTTAAATGTTGATATTGCTTAGTGTGTATTTTAATTTTTTTCCTTGTTTGTTTGAATGTTTGCAGACGGAGACACACAGTCCCCAGCAGTGATTCCTCTTCCTCATCTGATGACGAAGAGGATTTTGAGAGGCAAAGGAACAACAGAAATTTAAGAAGGTTAATGAAATGGAAGAATAGGGGAGGGAGGAGTCTCCTTAGGAGGACTTTACATCCACCCAACCATGAAGTGTTATCACTTTCATCTTGTACACTTTCTAAATCCTGGCAATCCTAACTGTTGGTACTGACAGCTGTAATGGGACTCTCTACAATTGGATTGTTAGAATTGATTTCAATAAGAATTGGATTTCTAGGCAGGAATGGGTGTAGGAACACTGATGTAACTTTCTGATGTAAAATTCTACTTCTCCTGTGCTTTACAGTAGTTGATTCAGAAAGAAAACCACCATAACAGAGTGTGTTATAAATAGAGGAAATGATGGACATTTCATTACATAACAAATGCTCTAGAAAAACTCTTTAAGTAACAGCCTAATAAGTGAGTTTTGAGCCTGATGCTGTTCAGATGTTGGCACACGCATTCCAAATGCCTCGGGAGGGACCAGCAGTGGTGGGCACCCTTTGTAACATTAATACCCCCTGCAGTAAGCATCCTCTTGAGCTGTAACTTTTGGATATAGAAGCTAAAAGTATTTAAAAGATATCAGTGTGTTTGGGGCAGGGAGTTTCTTCCATCACACAAATCTATGTCAGTCCATGGTCTCCACATAAGGAATAACTTCTTCTAAGCCTATATTCCTGTATGTGCTGTGTGAACTGGCATGGGTATTCTTAAGTGCTAAGGGTTGTTAAAATAGTTAACTCAGTTTAATGTCTGGAGTGACTGTTTCCCTCTATTTACTCATGGCCATTAAATGTAAAAATATTGGAACAAATATTTAACTATTAGTGAAGTTTATGCTCATTTATAAGCTATTTTGCATTCGCTTGTTATCATTAGCACATCGGAAATCTCTTTGCATCAAAAGTTAGAAAGCACCTTTCTCCTTAATTCAAATCAGGTCTCTTCCAGTCAAGTTTCGGAAAGGTGACCTCAAGGGAGTTCACAAGGAGCACATGAAAATCGGAGCAAGTCTGGCTGATGTTGATCCAGTGCGAATAGATTGTTCAGTAAGAATTTTTACTTCGTTGTGTTAGTGAGATATTTTCAGTATTTTATGAAAGCTTTCAGCAATGGGCTCTCTACATCTGCCTTAGCTTATGGCTTTCTTGCAAGTAATTTTAAAATTGGTGTGAATGTTTCCTGACATGTAATTTCTGATGGAACCTTATCAAGGTTGCAGCTTTCTTTGACATATAAAATGTGTTCTGTTGACTTCATCTTTAGGTGCGATTTGATGGTGTGGGTGGTCTGTCTGACCACATTTCGTCTTTAAAAGAGATGATTGTTTTTCCATTGCTTTATCCAGAAGTCTTTGAGAGGTTCAAAATTCAACCTCCAAGGTAATGGATGCTGTTTAAAACTGTAAATTCTAATTCACCTACATTTGCAGGAGATTATTCAGCAGTTATCAATATGTTACCATGCTTCAAAATTTTTTGGCAGTGTTGATGGGGTTTTTTTAGCAGTAGTAAAAAGGAAGTTTTAACAAGTGGATAGAATCCAGCATACATGTAGGTTCAAATAGTGTGTGTTTACACTATTCTTTAGAAGTGTCTTGCCTTTGAAAGGAGGAGTTGGAGTGTTTTTGAGTTCTATGTGCAAGTAGACTTGATGAGATTGTAAGCAGGAAGGAGTTACCTACTGGTAGTCAACTGCAGTTTGATTCAAGGAAGTCCAGTTGTCTGTCCCACCATCTTTTTTTTTCATGAGCTTAAGTATCAGTTTTATAATTGATAGGACTTGCAACTAGAACCTCAGTGTTTGTTGTGCTTGGGCTAAAATAAGGATCTGTCTACTTCTTACACAGTTAAATGAGTTCTGTGTTAGGAAAGGAGATTTAATTGTTAGCTTTATGTATTCTTGGCCAGCAAAACTCAGTCATGGTATATTGAAATAGTATCTTTGCTTTCTATAACTTTAAAAGTATTACAAGCAAGGGAAAGAAAATTTTGTTTAGGAGGGAACAGTTGTGTGGTTTAGAGGTCGTAGTTGTAATTGGTACTTTTCCATTATGGTGGGGTTTTTTTCTTAGATGAATATGTTTTTTTACTTTTCCTTTGTTTTAAATTGCAGAGGCTGTCTATTCTATGGCCCACCAGGGACTGGAAAGACACTGGTTGCTCGTGCACTTGCTAATGAATGTAGCCAAGGTGACAGGAGAGTAGCCTTTTTTATGAGAAAAGGTGCTGACTGCCTGAGCAAATGGGTCGGGGAATCTGAACGACAGCTTCGTTTGTTATTTGATCAGGTAAGATGAAACATGCCTTGTGTTCTGTCCGAGCTGTAACTCATTTTCTGTGGTCAAGAACTCACTCTTTTTTTAATATTTTGTCTTCGCCTTCCACTGAAATGGGATGGTCAGTGTTTCCTTTTTCAGTAGGGTTTTTAGGAGCTTGAAGTCTTGAGATGTATTGGGAAAGGTTAGTAAAGCAATCAAGAAAACATTGCAAAGCAGCACACACCCTCACTGTTCTGTCCGAGCTGTAACTCATTTTCTGTGGTCAAGAACTCACTCTTTTTTTAATATTTTGTCTTCGCCTTCCACTGAAATGGGATGGTCAGTGTTTCCTTTTTCAGTAGGGTTTTTAGGAGCTTGAAGTCTTGAGATGTATTGGGAAAGGTTAGTAAAGCAATCAAGAAAACATTGCAAAGCAGCACACACCCTCACTTCTTGCCTCACTAAAAAAACCCACAAACAGCCCTAGGTTTCAGGA